GAGGGTCAGTGCTGAGGGAGTGGGCACTGTCGGAGGGTCAGTGCTGAGGGAATGCTGAATGTCAGAGGGTCAGTGCTGAGTGATCGCTGCACAAGATAAAGGGGATATGGAGAAACGTTAACTGGACAATGTTCTGAACCTGATGAGTGAAGGCTGCAACTCTGCCTACACTACCAGATGTTACTTGTGATGCCATTCTTATTGTCCCCATCTGTCTCTGTCTGTCTCTCTCACTGCCTCTCTCTCTGTTTCTCCATTCAGCATTCTACGTTTGTAAAGTCTGCTCCCTCCCCTTGCTCCTCCTCTCAGTGATGAACCATTCCATTCCATGAATTCTCCCACTCTCTTATTCCCACCCTCAATCTGTCATTGTTTGATCAGTTCTCCAACCTGGAAATGGGGGAATGGTGCTGGTTCCTGTTCATGATTGTTTCACTCCCTGGCACACAAAATTACCTCCCTCCATTTCCCTTCACCTTCTGCTTCAGATTCCCTGTGATTTTCATGATGTGGAAAGGAGATAGGAATGGACTGTACAGTTCTGGAATAGTTTTGGTGCCCCACGAGGATCAGAGTCAGGTTCTCGGCTGTTTACAGGGTGACTGAGAAAGTGTCGTCAACTCTGATTAAATTTACTCTTCTTCTGCGGAGCCATGTGTTAGTTGACCTGCTGGCGTAAAGCCCCTTAATACTCTTACACCACCTCGTGTCACATCGAGAGCTCACTCCCCCATTTCACAAACTGGTTATGCTTTCTGTGGAAAGAACCAGAGAAAATTTCATTCGTACTTGATGACTTGAATCTTTTCCAGAAAACCATCAATTTCACCGAAACAGTGAGCGGCGAATATCAAAGTTTAGGGCCTGAACATTTCTGTGAAATATCCTACCTTGCGCATTGCCTTCTGAAAGGGCTATCGCTGAAAGGTTGCTCAGTGATGAGAGCGATTTCCCCACAGAAACGGAAGTCTCTTGGAAACAAATCGAGCTGTCGATATCCTGGGATTCAACGCAGCCACAATAAAGCAATATTTTCGACGCTGCTCTGCAGTTGGGCATCTTGCTTCAGATGTTCTAGATTATATTGAGCAGGATGAGATGTCTTACACCATGTACCATAATCCTCGTTTCTGCTCGGTTCTGTGTTCAATGCTGGAAGCACAGCAGAAAGAAGGAGGCTATACTCCAGCGATACAAGGATGCGCCTCACTTACCTCACATGTGTTTTGAAGAAATGTTGTTATAAAGGTGTCAATGCTCACGTTATACTTCTGAACTTGGGTAGTTTGACTCACTGGAGAGTTTTCACCAAACATTTGAAAGAGGCTGGTTCAAGCAGTGTACGCTCCCTGTGTCCAATTGGACCTCTGCATTTATGATGGAAGTTTGAAGCAATGATGGCGTTGGCTACATGGCCTCGCACTCCATTTTGAAGGATTTTATCGCTGCACCATTTAAATCTCAAAGTACACCACTTGACCAAGTGAGAAAATGCTTACTGAACAGAACAACTGCACCGATGACAGATTTAGGTTGTGTCATGTTTTCTGCGTTGGCCTAACATCACCAAAATCAATCGAACAGACAGTGTTTTTCACGTGGGAATGCATTCTGAGGCAGCCTCGGATGTATCTGACTGGCTGAAAGAAAAAAAAAACAACAGTTGTGTGCAGAATTTGGAAAGTGAGAGAAACCAGGAGAGGTTCCACGAGACATTGGATTGTCTTCTTGACTTTAGAGATGCAACACTGATGGAAGATGTCTGGGCTCCAATGAAGACAATAACATTCACAAAGGGCCCTCTTAAAACGTTTGACTTTACGGTTTTCACTATCTTCACGGTCTCAAAAGCGTTAATGATGTTACAGGAGATTGAGGAGCTGGAACTGGACAGTTGTGGTGTAGAAGGTGAGGGGATCCACCAGCTGGAACAAGTGCTACATAAATGATAATTACTCAGGTAATGCAACACGATTGTTCAACAGTATGGTAACATTATTACGTGACAGAATAGCCTCTGTAAACGTTTCCTTTTCTACTCAGTTCTCCCTGACAATTGCTAATTCTGTTTATTCTTTATTACTCTGAACATGAATAAAACTGGGTGATTCGGGAGTGACACGTCTCTCTGCCATTCTGAAGAATAAAAACGTTGCATAGTACAGGGATTGTCGTAAGTGATTATGTTTGAAATGTCAAACAGCACAAGTTATTTATCCCCATGGATTTCAAATTCCATATTGGTAATTATCAGTAGATATGACTTCTCCATTTCTAATAATATTCTGTAGAAATTTAGACATAAGCGCAATGCATAAAATGTGAACAACTGTTCCAATTAGCATAGAATTTCATTATGATGGTTTGCAAGTAGCGTTTAATTTGACTTTTGCCTCTCTGGTGGTGTGCAATGTTTCCGTAAATATAATTTATGACTTTATTTTTCTTCAATCAATGCACTTTAAAATCCAATCATCCCTCAGATGACTATGTGGAAATCTTAATCGCCGCTCCCCGTGCAAATACTGTAAAATAAAATCTCCTTTTCCCTAATTCATTTGCATGGATTTGCAGAATAAGGAGAGGTGAATTAATTTTTAGAAATTGCACCGTTTCTGACGGCAGTAACTGGAGGATACCAGGTGTATTAGAGACGTAGTAAAAGGGCCCGGAGAACTTTCTCGGGTATCTCTGCCAACTCCAACACGTTTGGCGCCAAGTTACAGAACATGCTGGTTGAAACTTTATTTCTGCTCCTTCACGACTACGGGACTCTATCACAAATAGCTCGCTTCTCAATCACAATTAGGAAATTTCAATAGCTTTATACATTGGTCACACAACCTGGGAATAGAACCTATGGCAGAACAAGTCCATACCGATCAGATATCCCAAACTGAACGAGTCCCATTTGCTTGTGTTTGGGCCCATATCACTCTAAACTTTTCCTATCCATGTACTCATCTAGATGTCTTTGAAATGTTGTAATTGTACCCAACTCCACTGCTATCTCTGGCAGCTCATTCTATGCATGCCCTACCCTCTGTGTGAAAAAAACATGGCGCTCAGGCCCCTTTTAAATCTATCCCCACTCATCTTCAACCTACGCCCTCTAGGTATGGACTCCCCTCCCCTGGGGGAAATGAATGACTTATGACCTTACGTACGCCCCACATGATTTTATAAATCTCCATATGGTCACCCCTCAGCCTCCTACGTTTCAGGGTAAAAGATCCCAGCCTATCCAGCCTCACCTTATAACTCAAACCCTCTAATCTCAATTACATCCTTGGAAATCTTTTTTTTTGCACCCAACTCATGTACTCAAGTGCTCTGACCGATGAAGGCAAGCGTGCCAAATGCCTTCCTCATCTTGTCTAAATGTGACACCACTCTCAAGGAACTATCAACTGGCCAATGGTGGCTACCACTCATAGATAAATAAAAGTTTTTGGTTTTATTTTTGTTTTGAAAAGTGTAATAAAAACAATCACTCTATGAAGAAAAGGTCATATTCCTACCCAGAGATAGTAAGAACTGCCGATGCTGAAGTCAGAGATAAGAGAAGTCCCGAACCGAAACGTCAACTTTCCTGCTCCTCTGATTCTGCCTGGTCTGCTGTGTTCCTTCAGTTCCACACTGTGTTATCTCTGACTCCAGCATCGGCAGTTCTTACTATCTCTTATCAGTAATTATTGTGATTTATTTTTCAGGTTGTCACGCAATCAATGATCTGAGGAAGAACTGAAAAGGTTGGACTGGATTCCAGTATCAAAAGATTTAACTGTAGCGACGGAATGAAGGAGGACTTATTAAATGGTTTCGTACGGGTTGTGGGGAATGTTTATTAGAATCAACCCGTTTGCGGAACTGCATTGAGGGATTCGTATCGTTATAGGTTCATGCAGCATGTACTGCACAGTACGGTAAATGCTGTGAGATTGTGTAAAACTGTGAGCTGTGGATGTTGGAAATCTGAGACAAAAACAATTCAAATGAACATATGCTTGTTACACAAAACAACACATTTCTATAGTACGAATGAATACTAATGAACATACACTTATTACAAAAAAATTAATACATTTATTCCATGAATGTAAATGTAAATGAACACTCATTTATGACACTAGCGAATACACGTTTTTTACACAAGCGAACTCCTGCTTATGACACAAATAAAAAGTTGTTATTACACAAATGTGTAATGAGGTGAAGATGTTTCATGACGAACCCTAAAACACAGACGAACTGTATAGCAGCAGATAGGAGTGAATTATTCTCTGCTATCTACAGTGTACTGGACATCTACAACGAAGAAACTTAAAAGATCTGAACAGATGAAGAGGTGGAACAGTTTGAAGGTAGATGGGGGGATAAAGCCAGGGAGGGATTTGTAAGCATAGGATGCAGAATTATCAAATCCAGGCTTTGCTGTACGAGGAGAATGAGACAGTGCCAGAGAGGTCGATCTATCAGCAGTACGGCATTGAAATATAAAAGAGCATTAGTTAATGAGGAAGAATGAGGGGTGATCTCACTGAAACATGCAGGATTTAGGGGGTTTGGCAGGGTCAATAATGAGAGGATGTTTCCCCTACGGCAGAGTCTAGAACCAGAGGACATAGAGTCAGAATGAAGGAGCATTAATTTAAGACTGAGATGAGGGGGAAATATTTTCTCTCAGGAGGTTGTGAGTCTTCGGAATTCCTTGCCATCGAGAGCTGTGGGGACAGAGATTGTGTGTATGTAATGCTGATATAGATTTTTGATCAGTTGGGTGATCGAGGCTTATTAGGGAAGGGCAGGAAAGTGAAAGTGAGGAATGTCAAATCATCCATGATCCTACTGAATGCTGGAGCAGGCTCGAGGGGCTGAATGGCCTCCTTCTGTTCCCATTTTGTGTGGTCTCATGATCTAAGTAGGTGCGCTAGCACTGCACCACAAGACACGCTCCTCCTTATAGTTTGAATAAAAGCCTCTAAACAATTGAATTCTATTCAGCCTAACTCAGCATCAGAAATCAAGTGGCTCAGCACTCTAAAAATGACAGCGTGATGAGGTGTTTGTTTTGCTGTTTGGTTCTCTTCAGAGATGTTTCTTATGCGTTTTGCTTAGTTTTAGGAGTTATGTTACCCTGTGTACTTGTGATAAATGGTTTAAAAAACAATGGTTCTCACAAAGCAAGCGTGTGGCTGCATGAGAGGACGAGCAGATGTTCCAAGTTTGCTTCCTGTTTTCAATTTCACTCTGCGCTTCTGTGGAGGCAATAAGACATCTGAGGTTTAGCCAAGAACAGACGGTGTGCGTCAATAACTCTCATTGCTACCAAAGATGCCACTGCCTTTGTATTGCATGTGTGTATGTATTTTCAACCTATTTTCAGTGTCAACAAAACCACAACTAGTTCTTACAGAAACTGCACATCGTCAATGTAGTGGATCAATGACAATGTGCTGTGATCGTGACCATTACCTCATCTCTACCAGCTATTCAATGTCTTTGTGTTGAAAATATAAATTAGTTTGAAATGCTTATGACTCGAAGATTACCACTTCTATTTCATCAGATCAGAACATTCCTGGTTAGACTGAGTAATAAATAAATAAGACTTAGGAGTAGGGTTAGGCAGTTCAACACCTTGAGCCTGCTCCACCACTCAATACGATCATGGCTGATCTCATTTCGCCATCAACTCCACTTTCCTGCCAGCTCTCCACAACCCTTCAACCTGTTACCAATTAAAAATCTGTCTGTCTCCTCCTCAAATTTACTCAATGTCCCGGCATCTACCGTGCTCTGGGGAAGAGAATTCAACAAAATCACGACGCTTTGAGAGAAGTAATTCCTCTTTGTCTCGTTTTTAAATCTGCAACCACTATTACCTCTCATTCCATATATTCCCACACGAGGAAACATCTACGTCGACTTTGTTAATCCTTGTTAGTATCTTATATACTTCAATCAAATCTCCTCTCATTCATCTGGACTCCAGGGAGTATCAGCCTAAATCTCTCAACCTCTCTTCATTAGACAGACCTCTCGTCTCTGGAAACAATTGAGGGAGCCTCCTCTGAACTGCCTCCAATACAACTACGTCCCTCCTCAAGTAAGGGGATCAAAACTGTAAGAAAACCATTTAGTTCATTGACCCAACGCTGGCATTAATATTTCATTTTGTTTAAACTAGAATTTTTTTTTAAAAATCGCTCCATTTCTATGAGTGCCCGGGGACTGATCGCTTGAACTCTGGTATCAGAGAAAAAAATGTATTGTTCCTTATTGAAGGATTGAGTGTACAGTGCACTGTTAAAATGAAGGACTGACTGATCAGCAGCTACACCAGTACATTGTTGGGCCAGCTGTGTAATCAGGTACATTACAATTGCCCAGAGCCCCTTGAGTCTTATTGAAGCTCAAACAAGCTTACAGGGTCTGGGTATAGTTTGTGTACCAGCTTACAGAGACTAGGTATAGTTTGTTTAACATCTTACAGAGTCTACCTATAGTTTGTGTACCATCTTACAGAAACTAGGTATAGTTTGTGTACCATCTTACAGAGTCTACGTATAGCTTGTGTACCATCTTACAGAGTCTAGGTATAGGTTGTGTACCAGCTTACAAAGACTAGATATAGTTTGCGCACCAGTTTACAGAATCTAGGTATAGTTTGTGTACCAGCTTACAGAGTCTAGGTGCAGTTTGTGTATCAGTTTACAGAGTCCGGATTTAGTTTGTGTACAGCTTACAGAGACTAGATATAGTTTGTGTACAAAGTTCATAGTTGTGTTCACGACTGTTTTTGTGTTCTGCTTTTTGCTGAACAAGGTAATAATTTAGTTTCAACAGTTAGTAACTCGCTGTCTGCCTTTTAAAACCCAGAGGAGGTAAGTTCTAATCCCCCTCTC